CTCTCTCTCTTTTATTTTTAAGGTTAATTGTGGCAGCACTGGATCCACTTGAGCAATTAATAATAATATTCCCACCTCAGGGTTCTTTTCTCTTTAGCCTTATTTTTGTAGTTAATTCATTTTTTTCTTAAAATGTCTTTTCGTGTATTTTGATCAAATTCTTTTACCTCCCCCAACTCCTCCTAGATCTTACTCACCTCTCTAAACCATTCAATTTCAGGTTCTTTCTCTCTCTCAAAACAAACCAAAACAAAACAAAAACAAAAATAGAACAACAAAAATCAAAGCAAACTAAAAAACCCCACTCCTGGGCATGAGACCTGCCTGGAGTGTGGCTGCTATAGCCCGTGACACTTGTTGTCATTGTGAGTTCAATTGTAAGTGCATCATCCTTGTTGTGTATTGAAGATGCAGTTCTCTTGGAGTCACCTGATCTTTCTACCTCCCCTGAGTCAACATCTGCAAAAGTAAGGAAAAAGATTCTAAGCATTAGTGTGTGTGTGTGTGTGAGAGGGAGGGAGAGAGAGAGAGAGAGAGAGTGAGAGAGAGAGAGAGAGAGAAAGAGAGAGAGAGAGAAAGAGAGAGAAAGAGAGAGAAAGAGAGAGAAAGAGAGAGAGAGACACTGTTCTGTCTACCACATTCATCCTTGCCATGATGGTTGCCATTTTTTTTCTTATCCAGATGCATTTTGTAGTTTAATTATTCACCATCCTTTGTCAATAAAGTCATTAGTCAAATAGTTTATGGGTTCTCCTGGCTATAATGATGAGTTAAAATGTCTCTGGTAAAAGTCTAATGTACAAGATGCATTGTTGTGCACACGATTGCAGGATCGTGTAGAAGATAACACATTGAGGGAAACCCAGGCTAGAAAGGGGTCAGAGAGGAAAATGTTCTGAAGTAACTCCTGAGTACGCGAGGCAGCTGGAAGGTGATGAGAAGTCACACGGGGCATGTCATGGAGAAAATGTAATTTTTCTACAGCCTCCGTGAGTTCTTATTTGGGATGGATCCCTGTAACAACAGACAGATGGACCTGAGATAAACAAACAGGGTTATTAATGTGTGTAGCACACATTCGTGATGGCTGGGGAAATTTCATTTCATTCCAGGTCGACTTTGGTAGCCTTGGGCCTCTGACCTAAATTCCTAACCTTTTGCCTACCTCCCCTAAGCGGTGTAACTGTTGTGAAATGATTAACCACTTGCTCTGTCCTCTATAAACACAAGTATTTGGCAGGAGGAACGACAATTTCTGGTGGAACAGGGGAGTGAGACAGTTCCTTTGGGGTGAGGTGGGGAGTGGGGCAATTTCTCATATAGTTGTAAATTCCACAGAGGTGGAGTAATTGTGGTATTCATCTTTAAAAACCTTTCCCCCACCTGCTTGAGCATAGCACGTTTCTGATTTGCCTTGGAGACAGCTGTCCTGTTAGTAGAAATAATATATTTGGTTAATTACAATCTGAATTGAGTCTGTGGTCTTTTCCTGGGGGTCTTGAACTTCAGAACACATTGTGTAAGAGAAAAATAGAATAAGAAGTGACTTGAAGCAGTGGTTTAGGATGCTGGTGTACATGGTATTGTTAAGCAAGGCTGAGTTTGATCTACACCTGTCTCTACTTGGGCGATAAAGTTTGTTACAAAGTTCGGTGCGTATGAACTATACCCTTGATATGAAAACATATTGTAACATAGCCTGAGAACACACCCTAATGGCCAAAGCAAGTTGAGTATCAGCCAGGCAAACCACCCATGGCTCAGCCAATCAGAGACGGCTAACTGATGAGACACATGCTTATATTAGCCAAATGCCAAACACAGCCAATCAGGTTGTTTCTGTGTTACTTCTTTTTCTCTGGTAGTCAGTATAATATATCCATGTGGTGGGATGAAGCAGGTTATGTCGGGCATTTGGTAATACTTCTTCAGTGTACAACCTTTTCTTTGTCTAAATCAACTTTGTTAAATTTAATTGACCTTAATTTTTCTAGCAGCATTAACAACAACAACAACAAAAAGAGTGATGTGCAGGCAAATAAGAAAACAAAGAAAAGTGTTTTTAGGCTTTCAAGAACATAAGGAAGATAAATATCTGGAGGTCTTAAGGCTTGGGTAACCTGAGTAAGGAAGCTTCTACATCCGTGTTTGGTGGCATGTTTTCTAGCATTTCTGGAAGTAGTGCTGGCAACAGGCTTATTCACCATTGATACAGAACTGAGTACTGGTAACCGTCAAGTAACTTTTTGTGAATCATTTTTCTTACAATGTAGTTGGACATTGTTTACTGAGGATTTTTAAAAAATTAAACTCAGGCTCTTGTTTATGCTGTGCAAACTTTCTGCTTGAACTATACCTGCAATTCTAGTGTAAAAGGGGGAAATTAATTTAAAAATGCTTCTGAAGCCATGGATACTGAAGGAGAACCTACATCCATCCCTCAACCAAGCCAACATAACCTCTAACAGTGATCCAAATATTTGTCCTTATTCTTGGAGGTAAGTGTAGTCATCACCTCCATCAGGGAACTTCTCTTTGCAACAGCGACCATTACAGAAAACCACAACCAATCATAAATAATAGTACAGGGTTGGGGAACCCAGACCCAGTGGATATGTCTACAAAGACCCCAGCATCTGAGGCTCGGAGAACATTTCCAAAGAGAGGATGGAAAGGGCAGAGGATGCAAGGGACAGAGGACCAGCGAGTTCGATATGAGAATGTGTCTCCTGGTAATGTCAGCAACTACATCCTTAAAGTTCCAAACATGACTGCCTAAACTTGAGCTGAAGGACAACAAGTCTTCCCCAGGGAAGAGCACACTGACTAGTTATCCAATACCAAATGGTCAGCCTTGAAAATATACACATGAGTAAAATTGTACAGATTGAGCACATCATAATCAGAACTATATATGGATCTATATATAGACATTTAACAATTAGTGAAGAAGAGGTCATGAATTTGAAAAAGAGCAGGAATGAGCATAAGAGAGGATTTTGAGGAAAGAAATGGAAGAGAAAATGGCAAAATTATCTTATAATCAGATAAATAAAAGAAAAAAGATTTTAAAAGTACAAAAAATTATGAAATCAAAGATAACATTTTGTTTTAGTATTCTTTGTTTTATTGGGTTTTTACAGTTTGTTTTAATTTTAATTTTTTTTGTTTTTGCTCTTACAAAGAGGTAGTATGAAGTTGGGTGGGTAGGGAGGTAGGGAGAATTTGGGAATATTGGGAAAAAGGAAAAATCATCAAATATATTATATGAAAATTAATTTTACATAAAATAATTAAAAACAAAACTAAAAATTCTATAAAATTCTGCAAGAGTAAGTCCCAAGGAGTATAGCATAGCAAGCTTTAGTTAATTTTCAATGAGGGGAGATCTCTGTGTTCTTATCATGTACACACATGCAAAGATGAAGAGAGGAAATTTGCAGAAGGGTGCCTGCATTCATGGCATAGATGCTGGTGATACTTGCATGGATATACATTTGTCTCCAAACCCATCAAGTCCAGACAGATTTTTGCATTTTCTCTTACCTCCACAAAGCTGTTTTAAAACAAGTACATTCATGTGTGTTTAATGGGTTTAGATGAGGAAGCCAAGACAATTTAATAATGAGAAGAGTATTCTTTTCAGACAGGATGCTGAGGCAGCTGCTATCTACTTATCTATGCAGATAGTCATGGAGCCCCTTCTTCGTGCCATTATAGAAATGTTAACTAAAATTATAAAACTCTTAGAAGAAAAACATAGGATTACATTTTTATCACTTTTGGCAAACAGATGAGTTCTTAACCACAAAAGCACAATAGTGAAAAAAAATTTTGCATGATCTCAAAATTGTGTTTCAAGAAAATAAAAATTAGCTTGCAGAGTTAGAAAAATAAATACAAATTTTATGATATGGGACTTTCTGTAAACCTGTCCTTTGTTGCAGGGACCAATTCCAATGAAGATCTAGTAGGAAATTGAAGAAAAACTATAACCATTGCAATAAATAAATAAAATGCATTACGTTTATTACTAGAGTAGAATTGGGAGGAGACTAGGAAAAATGGAGGAAATAGGGGAGGGGTGACTGGCATATGATAGACTTGGATGATACTGTCTAGTGAATATATACCAATAAAAAATAACAACTAAATAAGTAAGTAAAAGGCATCATAAAGCCATAAAAATTCTCTACGTGTAACCCATGAGTGGCCCTCAAAGTGGTAAGGATTGGAGAACCCAGGGAAGACAGGACTGAGAGAAAGACAAAGAAGAATTTGTTTTTGGGAATAGAAATGAATGAATATAAAAGGGGGTTGGCGTATTCATATATGCTAAAACATGGTAAATTTATGTTACAAGAAAGTAGTCATTCAGAAAAGACCATGTATTAGCCTCTGTCGTTTATATGGAATATCTGTAATAGGCAGATTTATGAAGATCAAACATAGATTCATGTGTGGGTAACAAGGGGAGGGACACAGTGAGTAACTGTTAATGGGTGTAGGAGGGCGGTGATAAAAATGTCCTAACGTGACCGTGTAGAACTGATTCTATAAACCTCCTCTTTACTGAACATTTCCTGGACATGCCCCAGGCAGGAACCCTTACATGAATAACAGGCCCCCATATCTTAGCACAACTGACTTCATGATGGAATTACCAATCAGGCCATAAAACTCAGCATTATAGACAGTATCACCAGTCCAAAGGAAAATGAAGAGCTAATTCATCAAAATCCATAGTTCTGGAAAGTCTCTAAATGTATTAACCTTGCTTTTTCATTTCTGTAGTTCAGCTTCTTGTTAACTGTTGTTATTAACTGAAGCATGTCACCCCAGGACATGGGTTTATTCTTAAGAGCTCACCGTGAGAAAGGCTTAGTCTTACACTGGGATCCTGAACACCCACTCCAGTCACTGGGTGGCTGAAAAAGACTTCCTATAGGCTTAAACTGATGACTGAGTGGTCTTCTATGGTGACAGATCCACACAATACATTACCAAAGAGGACTGGAAATTTATTACCGACAAGTACAGTTGTTCTCCTTTATCCATAAAGAGTAAGTCCCAATGCCCCCTGCCCTGGATGCCCGTAACTTCCACCTACTCTGTCTGCCCCACACATGTACAGTACAGGTGCACAGAACGCACGCAGACAGAAGCTCACTGGCGTGAACAGGATGGTGTGAGACCTCACCACTGCTACTCTGAACAGCACGTGCGTTAGGACATGCATTATTTACCTCTGGAACTTCCTGTTTAATAGATTTCAGGTATGGAAAGTCACATCTGCACAAACGGGATTGCCACATGCCTTAGCCAGTGTTCTAGTGACATGAAGGGACACTATGACCGCGTCAACTGGGGCTGGCTTACAGTTTCAGGGGTTTGGTCCATTATCAGCATGGTGGGAAGCGTGGCTGCACTCAGGTAGACATGGTTCTGGAGGAGCTGAGAGTTCTACATCGTCAGACAGCTGGAAAGAAAGAGAAACGGGGCCTGGCTTGAGGTTCTGAAACCCAAAGCCCACTCTGAATGACAGACTTCTTCTAGCAAGGACACACCTCCTAATCCCTGTCTAGTAGTGCCACTCCCTAATGACAAAGTATTCAAATATATGAGCTAGTATTCGAGGGATAAACACTGATCCACTGCTCAGGACCCCATAGGTAGCCCAGGCCTCCTCATTGACTCTCACATTCAGGGGGTCTGGATCGGTCCCATGCTCTCTGCCTGGACTCTTAGGGAAGTGCCTGGACCCTACCCTGAATGAAATGATAGACTCTAGCTATCCCCTATACGGAAGGAATTGGCAATAGGATGGGAGGATAGGGGGATGGTAGGGGGAGGTGTGGGAGGAGGGGAGGGAGAGGGAACTGGGATTGACATGTAAAACAAGCTATTTAAAATAAAAAAAAGAAAATAATAAAAAACCAAATATATGAGCCTATGGGAGCCATTCCGAGTTAAACCACCATACCATAATATCATCTGATCCATAAAAATTAGCCAATGAATTATTCCAGAAAACCTTCCGAATCTTAGTAAAGACGTTAAGGATGGGGATGCGGGGCAATGAGAGAACATCATGGAAGAATCCGCAAGACTTGCAGATCGCAGTTCTACCTACCAGGCACGTGTTTCTGATAGTGTGTTACTCTTCTTGTAGTTGTCACAAAATGATTGATAAAAGCCACTTAGAGAAGAAAGAGCTCATTGGGAACACAGCCCGTCAGTGAAGAATAAATGACAGAAATGTCCCGTTCTTGGTCACACTCGCATGTGCAGCCAGCAAGCAGAGAAAAGGATGCTGGAGCCATCTTCTGCTTCTTTTTTCCATTTTTATCCCAGCTTACAGGATGGCGTCATCCATAGTCACGTCAGCCTTCTTCACATTGAACTTCTTAGAAACAGTCTCACAGACCTGGTTAACAGGTGTGTTGCCTGGTGATTCCAAACCCAGTCCTGTTGACAATGACAATTAACCACCACGGTCAGGTCTTATTAGCAAATCTCTTTGCCAGAAGTTGTTAGGAGTGGAAAGAATATCAAAAGGCAGACTCTCTGCCCTCTGGGAATTGAGGTCCTCAGGGGAGAGAGACACATTTAAGATTTTATATCAAATGCTGTGTAGAGAGTTGGGAGGGAATAGATCAGGGTTCAGTTGTCTTGGGTAGACCACGAGAGAGAAAGACACAGAACAATCTTCTCTGTGACTCTGTGCTTATGTTTCTTTGAGGAAGAAACTGCTTCCCAGGCTGAGACTCTAATTGTGAGAAGGAAATGCCTTTGGTTTGGTGTAATTTCCTCCTTTAGACTTCTCGCTCAGAGAACGCTAGGCTCAAGAAACAAGCAGTGAGCCCTCAGCCTTGCCTGTTCTCATCTCTTAACTCAGTCTTAAGGACACAAATTTAGAACGGTGTTTTGTGGGTTTACCCCCTAAATTACATCTCTCTCTCTCTCTCTCTCTCTCTCTCTCTGTCTCTCTGTCTCTCTGTCTCTCTGTCTCTCTGTCTCTCTGTCTCTCTCTCTCTCTCTCTCTGTGTGTGTGTGTGTGTGTAAAACCCACAAGAGTTGATTCTTTCCTTCAAACACACATACCAGAGAACTCGGGTTGTCAGGCCTGGCAGCGAGTGCCTCTACCTGCGGAAGCATCTCAACAGTCCTGTAATTTTTTTTAAACTTCACACCAAATTTATACTTCTTGTAAAAGGCTTTTGTGTTAGGCACACACGATGGAGATTCACTGTGTAATAAACCAAGCGCCTTCCCTCTGGTGTTAATAATGATTGCCATTTTCCTAGACTCTAGGTTGCCTGCTTTCTACATTGCCTATTCCTCCTTCTCCCCTTCTATTTTTTCTCTGCAATATTTAAGAGCAAATTCTAGGCACACTGCTGTTTCACACCTTGTGTTTCAATGTGTCCCTGAGAAGGGACTATAACCATTTACCTTTATCACACCTAAAATGGTAGCAACAATCTATCAATGTCCTGCAGTACCTAGCTCATTTTTGAAGTTCCTTGACTGTTTAACAAATGTCTTTTTAGAAGGTGGGTTTTCTCAATTCGAATATCTATATCATGTTCACATGAACTCTTGCTTTTTTTTTTTAAAGAAAAAACATCTATCTGCAGCAGCAAACTTTATTGTCTTTTCAGTTGATTAAAGAGAAATTCTAATTACTCTAATTACTCTTCCATGGTGTTGGTATCATCTGACAGGCTAGCCTCCCTCTGTCTTGCACATAAATTGGATGCATTCTCTGTCCCATTTTTACTGGTTCTTGAATAAGTGACTGGGTTCTAGGAACAATCTGTTCCTTTATTGAAAACAGCAGTTCTTGATGTGGAGATTGGGTGGGGGGGGTGGTTGGGGAGCTGGTAGAGGGACAAGGGAGGAGGGGTGGGAGAGGGAGCTGAGACTGACATGTGAAACATTTATGTTTCTAATTTAAATAAAAACATATAGTGAGAACAAAAAAGAAAAGAAGAGAAAATGGCAGTTCTTGGATTCAGAGCAGCTGACTTTTATTTTAACACACTGGGAATATCCGGGGTCCTACACACCTGCGCTTGATGGTGTCAATGTTTGTTGATTGTCTTGTCACTTACCTAAAAGGGAGAAACACTGGCTTCTCTATAAAATGGCTGGTTTCTTATTCTATCATTCCTTAGGCTTAGTAGCTTGTTTTACCATGTAAATGATAATGTAGAAAGATCCCTCCTTTATCAGGTAGAGGTAATTGATTCTATTAATATGCTCATTCCAGAAAAACCAGGTTAAATAGTGAGCATTTTCATACTGTCCGTGGCCAGGACAAGGAGTTGTGACTATCTCTTCCTCTGATGATGAATAATAAAATAATCTTCCTCTCCTTTTTTCTTTTAAAAAAGGTCTCTCTGTGAGTGTGAAAGTATTAAAAGACAAGATTATGTATTTATTTTTATTTTTATTTATGCATGTTATGTGGACTTGTGGGCATAAATACCACATGTATGGATATGCCCAAGGAGGCCTAAAGAGAGCATCAGACCACTCCTGGAGCTGGGCTTCCAGGTGGTTCTGAGCTGCCAGACATGGCTCCTGGGAACTGGACTTGGGTCCCCTAGGAAATGCCATTGACTTCTGAGGCATCTCTCCAACCCCAGCATATGGATGTTTATATAATCAGTATATTTTATATAATCAGTATATTTCATTTTTTCTGTAGTCATTCCTTCCCTAAGCCCCAGAATCACATCATTTGATCATGGATTTCTGTACTCTGTTGGTGTTTTCCTTGCTTCCTGGCTTTGTGGTTTGCCTTTTATCTGGAATCAGCCATCTCTGTAGGGACACTTAGCTCTTTAAATGGAAATGATTCTTTCAAAAAATTTTATTTATTTATATTTTATGTATGAGTGCTCTGCATGTACACCTGCAAGCCAGTAGAGGACATCATATCCTATTATAGATGGTTTCAAGCCACCATGTGATTGTTGGGAATTGAACTCAGGACCTCTGGAAGAATAGCCTGTGCTCTTAACTGCTGAGCCATCTCTCCAGTTCAGGAAATGATTTTTTACAGACATTAATTTAGGTAATGTGAACAATGCTGCTATTAGGCTCTTACTGTTTCAAACCTTACAGTTGACAGAGAGAAGAAATTAATATTCTTAAATATAAATATTTTTCATAGATCATAGTGACATTTAAATTATTTTATTTTTAATTTATGTATATGGGTGCTTTGCCTGTATGTATGTCTGTATATCAGATGCATGTAGTACTCACAGAGATTAAAAGAAGGTTGGATCCCTGGAACTGTGGTTATAGACAGTTGTGAGCTGCCTTGTGGGTTCTAGGAATATAACCTGCGTCCTCTGGAAGAGCAGCCAGTGCTCTTAACCACTGAGCCATCTCTCCAGCACCCATAGTAATATTTTCAAATAAAAATAACATCACAGTTTTCTAAATTTGTTTAGAATTTAAATTAGAAACAATATTGTTTTACATGTCAACTCCAGTTCCCTCTCCCTCCCCTCTTACCCCCCCCACCAACCCCCCTATTTCATTCCCTTTCTTCTACCCAGGGAGGGTGAGGCCTTTCATGGGGGTTCTACAAAATCTGTCACATCATTTGGAGCAGGGCCTAGGCCCTCCCCCCCATCACAAGGTTTTGACTAACCTGAATTTTTCTAGTTCCCTTGTTGGGGCAAGTCCTTCTGTGTATGTTTGTCTTATTGGTTGATAAATAAAGCACTGTTGTCCAATAGGGAAGCAAGGTAGGTGGGACTAGGACTTGAGGAGGATTCTGGGAAATGTAAAGAGTGGGAATTGTCATGTGATCCCGGGAAAAGAGGATGCTTGTGACTGGCATCCTTGGTAAGATAAGTCCTTGAAAACATATATAGATTAGTAGTTATGGGTTAATAATTAAGTCAGAGCTGACCACTAAGAAACCATAACCAAAGGCCAATAGCTTTATAATTAAAAAACAAACAAACAAAACAAAACAAACAAACAAACAAAAAAATGGGACCCAGCCTGGCTAAGAAACTTCTTTTTACAAAATGGTGCCCGGACTTGGGGCATGAATTTCCACTTAAAACTTGACAAAAGCTTAAAAAGGAATTTTAAAAACAAAAGAACAAAGTCTACCATGGCTTCTTGGTAGCAGCATTTTCTCAGGGAGGCTCTGTTAGCTAGAGACAAGCAGAGACTCACATGGCTCCTTTAAGGGAGACTTCTTGACTCAGCATGAGCAGCAAAAAACTGCAAGGCTCTTTTAAGAGCCCCTGCTAACAACTGAGTGGTGTATGAGCAGCTGGTAGTGGCAGTGACCATATCTTAAACCATAGTCCAAGGTGGTGAGCACAGCGCTCTATGCTGGCGGTAAATGTACCTCTGCCATCTTGCAAAGACAGTGGCTAAAACAGCCACCACTTTAATTTTGGCAATGATGTTTAGCAGATAAAGACTGCATGATCAGAAAAAGAGAAAGATTTACTTTAAAGACAGATTCAGATGAAGAAAAACCACTAAAGGTTTACAGTGTGTTTAAAAATATACATAGCTTGGTAGAGAAAAAGAAACAGGATAAAGTGGTTCAAAAAAAAGAAAGAAAGAGAAAGAAAGACAGTAGCTGGGTGCGGTGGCACACACCTTTAATACCAGCACTTGGGAGGCAGAGGCGAAAGATCTGAGGGATTTCAAGGTCAGCCTGGTTTACAGACTAAATACCAGGGCAGGCAAAAGTAAACAGGAAAACCCTGTCTCATAAAAGGAAAAACTAAAAGTAAAAGAAATAGAGTAATAAAAAAGCCACGTAAAGATGGAAAATACACAGAGAGTCTGGATACTTTATGGTATATTGTTGTCTTTAAAGTGTTTGATTGCGGAAGAAAGAACTACAGCTGCTAAAATACATTTGGTTGTAAGTGCTGCTAAATTAATCCATATAGCCATGCAAACTACAAAAACAAGAACCTGGCCATGTTTCTGTGTTTTGTCATGACCCCCATGTTATGGACCAGGCTGGCCTTGAACTCACAGAGATCTGCCTGCCTCTGCCTCCTGAGTGCTGGGATTAAAGGCATGTGCTACCAACGCCCGGCACAATGTAGCATTCTTATGTGTGTATGATTTTTGTCCCTTAAACTGGATTTCTGTTCACCGTAAGTTATGACAGAGTACCTTGATTTCATGTATTTTCATAGACTTGATGGCTTCCAGAGCTGCATGAAGGTTGGCAAAGGGCACCTCCTGTCAAGCCTGGAACCCACATGTAGGAGAAAGCCTGCTCCCAAAGTTGTCCTTCTGACCTCCCTACACGCTCACACACATGTACACACGCACGCGCACACGTACACACGCCCCAAATAAACAAATGTAATTTAAAAAAATCCTGCCTTGGTTTAGAGGCATCTTCAGGCTGTTGGAGCTTTGACATTTTTCTAGTAGGAAACGGACCTTCATCCTTGCAATAGCCACGGTCGTCCACTAGATGGCAATGCAACACAGCAACCTGCTTTGGTGTCTCTAAGCCTCTGAAATACTGTTTTAAGCCATAACAGTAACAGAATTTTTTTTAAAAAATCATTTTTGTTAAACATTAATGTAAAATAGTCTCTTTAAAAGCGTTTAACAAATCTGTCCTATTTAAAGACCATGAGCATAAACATACTGGAATGTTTAGTATAGAAATCATCTTGCC